GCTCTTTAGTGTTGGTCGTGTATCAGCTTTTCTCGGGTAATGTTAAATCCGCGTAATCTTTAAGTTAACCTAATCATAATGTTAAAAATTCTCTTATATCTGCTTGTAGTCAATAGCCTCGAAAGACACCTCGAAATTTTAATGTAGTCCCCTATCCATCAACTGGCATTGATCTGACGCCCTGTGTTGCAAGTGGTAAAAGCAAAACTGGAGAGCACACAGAAGCTTCCTCCACTCGTATAAAGCAAAACGGTAAATTAGATGTCGGGTGGATTGCATTTCCTGCATAATCACTGTTGTTAATAATCCAACTAGTTGTCCCTCTACTCCCTTTATGCATTAAATGATGCCTTTCTAGGTTGAGTTTTAATGTGCGACAGATGATGTAGCAGCTCGAATGACTCGTACAATTTTCGACTCCGACTCCTTACTGTCGAAAAACAGTTCTACAGTCGATTAAATTACACATCTGACCCTGGCAGAATACATTATTCTTAGGTTAAGATATACATTTGGTATGTGAAGATCGGCTAACTGGCGTTTATAGCCGGTTTTCCGTGGCACACTTACATTGCGGAACATCAGATACTCTCCCATAAATCTCTCCACATGGTACCTACCCAATTAATCGAGTCCGAGGTTTTCCTAAAACTGCATAACTCAATGTAAACTGTATATTCTTGAGCCGACTAAATCTAGTTTGATTTTACATTTCGATTTAGATACTTTTTCGTTCTCGACGTCGGTCCCGGACGCAATGTCCCGCAGGCCTTGTCGGATGAGTCAGCGTCGAACAGCATCAACATAGTTGCTCGAGATCGGTTAGAAGTCCTTCGCGAGGTGCGCGCTTCCAAACGTCCACCGAAAAAAAGCACTGCGTGGATAAAGCACAAGAAAGAGGTTGCTCGGCAGCGCATGAAAGAAGTGGCTCATGACTCACGTTACACGGGGCGTAAGCGACGTCCCAAATTTTGAGTGATATTATTTTCCCAAAGTGTACACAAATTTCTACGCATATCTTTCAATCCTTTATTGGCACATACAGAATTTTTGTCACACT